TTATTAGAGGGCGGTGGATAGTGTAGATAACCACATTTCAGTTTGTAATAAATAAAAAAGTAAACAAATTAGAGAAAATGTTTAAAGGAAAAATATGTTTGTCTATAAAGTATCTAATTGATTACCTAAGTTTGTCATGCCTTAATTGAAAAAAATATTCCTGCCCTTCAAACAGTTAAAGCAAGCCTAAACAGATTTAACTTTGTGACCACGGCCGAATGTGAACGTGGTGACGGGCTGCAGACGGAGGAACATATCTTCTGGGACTGTAAACTGTACGAGGGGCAAAGGGCAACAGTGATGAACATTCTGTCTGAGAACAGCAAAAAATAATTCCCAAAGGCAGTTACAGAGCTCTTAAGGCTAGAAGTAAAAAGATTTGTGCAAGGCGTCTGTTACTTCATAAACATTCCTATATTTATATAAAATAGATATGTAAGAAAAGCAAAAGAAGTAATTGTACAGATCATTAACAGGATACTCTCAGCTTAAGTTAAGATCTATATTAAGAATCGCGGTGAGACCGCTGTAATAGAATGAGATATTTATAAGAATGTGCTACAGAAGGCCGGATGGGCAATGCCTAGGCCTTTTTTGTATTTACCATATTTTTTCTACAATAAAAAAAGATGCCCACAGCCGTTAAACTCGGCTTTCTACAACCGAGGGAAGAATAGAGAGAGAGTTACTTTACGACTGGCGGTTTACCGCCAATCAGTTCGTCTTGGCGTCAGGCCCACGACCAGAGATTTTTTTTCCCAACGTAACGCTTGCGGTAATAGTCCTTATGTAACATCCTCTCTGACGAGAAGATGGGTCTGTCTCTTTTGAATACACTCTACCTTTCGTCAAGTGTATAGTTCGCACCTATAACATGTTATCGAAAATTCTTCCTTTTGCACTACACACAAGTCCCCTGTCAGTACAGGCTTTACAGAGCAGATCATGCCTAACTATGATACAACGACAATTTAGTCATTTGAACTGTCATAAGCTTTACCACCGCCAAGTTTAAGCCTCTTATATTTTCTGTGTCTGGCTTCACCTTGCCCTATAACACGAACATGTTCATTCTCATGATTTTGTATGACTTCTGGTTGTCGTCTGCACAATTTTGTTATATAATCATATACATAAGGAAGGTTGAAAGCCGTGTGCAAGTCGCAGACTGGTGTGCACCTTGGAAAATTTCCAATGGTGCGCAAAACCTTGTTTTGCATGCGCTGCAATTTTAGGAGACAGTTGTCTGCAGCTAACTCCCAGGCAGGACAAGCGTAAGTCATTACTGATCTGATCAATGCCTTATGGAGGGTTAGTTTAATGTTTGCATTTAAAGGCTCACTTTTGAATAGAGTGTAAATTCTAATAAATGTACTGAAGACCTTGGCTTCAATCATTTCTATGTGAAGTCTCCATGAAATCCTCTTATTGAAAATTACGCCCAGGTACTTTACATGATTGACGAAGGGGATATTCTGCCCACTCAATGTAAGATGAGTCTGAGGGGGCCTAAGTCTATGAGAGAAGTAGATTGCCTGAGTTTCATCTTCATTGATTTTTATGTTCCAGCGATCACACCACGTCTCAATAGCACTGAGACCTCGCTGCAGCTTTCTGAGAACATAACCCTCTTTGCGGTCTGTCACATATATACAGGTGTCGTCGGCAAAAAGACCTAGATAGACACCAGGTGTTTGGGGCGTATCGTTTATACATCGACTGTTATTCACATACTTTCGAAGTCAAAGTCACATTGCGACTGACGGTCGGTCAGTCAGTCAGTAGGTCTTGGTGTCGAGCCTTATCTGGGGCTCATGACCAGATATTTATTACTGTTTGGCGTTTACGGCCTTGCTTTTGTGGGGCGCCCTCTCTGACGAGAGGACGGGTCTGTCTTCTATATATGCTGCTGGTCCTTGCCAGCACAGTCTTTCTCGGGTCCGAGTCCCTTGAGACTCGCGACCATATTTTACTCTCTCAGATTTGAGACTTGCCTTTTCGTCGCCTCCTACGACTCGCAGGGTCACGGTGGAGGTATTCGACCCCACCTACACACGGGTTCTCGCATACTTTCCTTTCAGTACATATAAGTATTTGATACGACACGAATTACATAGAAAACACCACGTCCAACAGTTCTTCTACTGTCGCGTGTGTATTCGTTGCCGCGGAAATGTGTTTACTGAGCCGCTGCCTAGTAATGGTCATCTCTTCTGCTCCACTCTTGCGGCTTTCAAGCGGCTGGCGACACACAGAAAACTGATTTCACAAACCTACTTTTATTTCTTCAGAATAGTAGGCTAAAAATGGATGGACGAAAGAAGTTTATCTCATGACAGTAAATATTTGCATTGTATCGACCTACATGATGCAAGTAGAGTTGAATGAGAATTCAAAATTCCAATTATGGCGTGCCGTAACTCAGGCAGTTAGTTGCCGGCTTACCAGCGCGGTGGCCTGGGTTCGATCCCAGGTCAGATGATGTCGGATATGTCGTGGACAAAGTGACACTGCGGCAAGTCTTCTCCAAGTATTCCGGTTCCCTCTGCAAGGTCTCATTCCGCCAATTGTTCCCTATTCGCTAATCATCCCATCATTGACGCTATATAATCTCGATACTGATAGCGCGTTGAACAATAAACTTAAAAAGACTACAATATGCCAAAGAACGAAAATGAAAGCTGTCTGCACTCTGGTATAAACTATGTAGTAGTACGAAGTATTTCCTGTGCACTTCGTTAAATACACACTAAAATCAACAAATATTTTAAATAAAAGCTAATTTTCGTAAGGTGCATTTTTAGAACGTGTTCATTCTTGTGGGGTTTTTTTTTTCCCCCACATGCCGGCCGCCTCACACAAAGGTAGTTTATTAGTTCTTTTTCTGCAGTTTCAGTAGAAAACAAAATTAATTATTATATTCCAAGACAGTACTAAGTCTTCTCAGTCAGCTTTCACTATTCGTTGCTAGGTTATCGCTCTCAACAATGGTTACGCCTGTATAATGTTTTCTCTAGGCGTATCCTGGTAACGAATCACAAGCTTGTGTATTCACGTCTTCACTCTTCGAGCTCCAAATAACGATTTTTTTTTGTTTCGAATTTGGTTTTACTTTTTTACTTTCAATTTATACAGACCAAATTTAAATTAATCCAGCAATACAAATTAAATTACATCAATCTAGTTATTTTGGGATTAACATATGGGCTGACAGACAGACAAACTGTCGAGTAGGCGAAGGAAAAATATAACTAATGGTGCACTACAATTGATAAAAAAAGGGGGGGGTATACGTCTTGGAAGCATCAAGCTGGAGAAGAACGAACATAGTAATCGCTACGTTCGCTACGTCTAGCAACGAAGGAGGCCGTGACTGGGTGACTTCCGTTAGCAGTTTCCTAGCAACTGATCACAGCTTGCAAATGTCTTCCATAGTATGTAAGATATGAGGTTTCTTCATCGTCTTCCATAGTAGTTCTGTAGCTTGGGTGCGTCGGAAGGGTCGGAAGTAAGTCTGCAAGGTCTGCAATGATGGGTGATGAACAAGTTTTAAGAAGGATACCGAGAACCTTTGCGCCGACTAAAGGTGACAGATGCAAAGGCGAGCAGAAAGAGTTCGAAGAAATGATGGAAAAAGTAGAAGAAAATAACGGAAGAAAAAGAAGGTAGGCCGTATGTGAGATGTTATGTTTTCTCAGAGGTCACAATGAAGAGTGCTGCTTTCTGGGATGTGATATCGTGTAGTGTGATACAAGTTTCGTGACTTTTAATATGTATTTGGAAAAATCATGTATACACAAAACAGGCCTAGGCAATGCCCAACAGTCCCTCTGTAGCACAGTCTTATAAACATCTTATTCTATCATAGCGGTCACCCCGCGATTGTTGAATATATCACTTAACGGTAAGAACATATTATTAGTAATTTGTACATTCACTTCCTTTTCTTTTTCTTTTAATAAATTTAGGAATTTTATTTTTAAAGTTTTTTTTGTTGCTAGAGGGGTGGGACTAAGTCCCTTGTACTGCGGCCACTTCTGGCCTATTGTACCAGCCCCAGATGATAGGTGAGGGTGATTGTGGAGCAATTGGTGGAATGCAGATTGGCAGGGGAAACCGAAGTACTCGGAGAAAACCTGCCCCAGCGCCACTTTGTCCACCACAAATCCCACTTGACTAGACCCTTGATCGAACGCGGGCCGTCGCGGTGGGAAGCCAGCGACTAACCGCTTGAGCTATGGCATGGCCCTCTGTTTTTAAATTAACAGACACCTTGCACAAATCTTTTTTCCTCTAACCTTAACAGCTCTGTAACTGACTCTGGGTATTATTTTTTGCTGTTCTCAGACAAAATGTCCATCACTGTTGCCCTTTGGTTCTTGTACAGTTTACAATCCAAGAAGATATGTTCCTCCGTTTTTCAGACCGTCACCATATTCACATTCAGCTGTGAACACAATGTTAAATCTGCTTAAGCTTGTTTTAAGACTGGAGTGGGCTGCCCTCGTACGGTTTATTGATATGAAAGCATGGCAGTTCATTTTTATCTCACAGGACCAAGTACCTCTCAGAGTAGCTTTCTACTCTGTCCCAAGTTTCATTACATTTCCAAGGAGAGTATTGACTCCACTCCACCTTTGGGGTTGAAGAGTAACTCAGTCAAGCAGTATGACTTCTGCATATTTGACTGCTCGATCAATCTACTCTTCAACCCCAAAACATTGATAAACACACTGCGCTGCGTCAGATTCCAGAAAACACTACTCTTCAGGTATTTCATAGGTCAGAGATCATGTTATCATTAACTAGAATATGCTTTAAAAAGCACTGTGTTTCAGTATTCTCAAAGTCGCTCTTTCTAATCGAGGTCAATTCTTTTTATTCGGGAGGGCCCCGAGTTCAAATATGCTCAGAAACCAACTCTCTTGAGTTAGGCATTCCATTATTTTTCTCATTCTGTCCGGATATATTCCAGAACATTACCTCAAATTAGGTCTATATGATGATCCACATCCTTTGTGATGGGTAATTCATTAATAATCCTAATGATGCTATATATTGGAGTTACTAAGAACAGTGTTAAAGAAACCACCAAGAAATCAATGCATCCAATTATGTTTTCACTCCGAAGGATACATATACATTATTTGCAGTACATGAATAAATTAATGTTATGCAATGGAAGTGATGTCAATCCAAGTTTTCATATTCCAAGCTACTTAACAGATTTCAGTAGAACCATTTACCAAAAACTGTTGCTTGCTAAGGTGGTGGTCCTAGATGGACCATGGACCTGGAGGTCCATTCTCATGTTCACAGAAGCCCACCACCGGTCCAAATTAACCTAATCTATAAGGCTATATAGCTCAAGTGGTTAGTCACTGGCTTCCCACCGCGGCAGCCCAGGTTCAATCCTGGGTCTGGTCAAGTGGGATTTGTGGTGGACAAAATGGTGCTGGGGCGGTTTTCCCTTGCCAGTCTTCATTCCACCAAATTCTCCATCATCCTAATCACCCGGGGCAGGTACAATAGGCCAATCAGCGGCCGCCGTGCCAAGTGGACCCAGTTGGACTCCACCCCCCACTAAGCAAAGTGAAACCTAACCTATACAATCCCATCCTGTTTGTCTTAAGACACAGTTTAGTCTACTTTCCTTATTTTTAAAAAAATTAAAGGAGTCTTATGAGGTCACCTTCCTGTTTATGTGACTGTGTGTTTGTCTGTGTATCCACCATAATTCTGAAAGCCTTAATATTGGAGCTCAGTTTATACAACTTTGGATAGGCTGCAGAGAAAACACTGCCTCCAGCAGTTTCTCTGTTGTTAGCCTACTTTTTCTTTGTATTTGTATATGTATCCCCCCTATCATTGCTAGGTAATGACTTGGTAAACACACTCCTGCCAAAACAAATACTCACGCAACATTGGAGAAATTTTTCTACATGTTGGTTTTCTGTGTGCCCTGTGTCATATCAAAGAAAAGTAGGTATTAGGTCATCACAGAACTTCTTGTAATATCCTCATATGTACCACACTACAGCTGATTTTGAATAATGTAAGAGAAACCATGAGATGTGTCCTTCCCTTACCGATTGCATTTTTTCTTGTCAGGAGAATCTTGGGGTACGCATTGATGTTAATGCTAGCAGCCGTATTCTCTGCATGGGCTTCGTCACTCTTTATACCTGTAGAGAGAGAATTAGTTTACTGAAAACTGTAAGTATGCAAAAGTACAATATGAAATCGTATAAATCTTCTCTTGCTTCTCATCAAGCAGGTCTTTCAGAACCATTCCTACTTCTCAAGCTAAGGAATTGTCAGCATCTCTGAGGAGGAACCATGATTTAAATTCCAAGCTAGTCTTGTGATCTTGTAACAATAAACATGAAAGTGAGGAGTTGAAGTTCTTTTAAATAGAGTATAGCCAGCTGACAACGGTGTAGTTATGTTTCAAATACATAACCAAGAAAGGTACACAATTTAAGTCCTCCCTAAGTTGCCATGGTAGAATGTAACAAAAATGTATGTACAATACATTGTAGAACTGTTATGTTTATTTTAAGATGAAAATTATTGACTCACACATGGAGCTGAGCCCGCCTTGAAAAGCCGCCAATTGTGCAACTAGTCAGGAATTTTGCAACATTTTATGGAACCTGAAAGTTCACTACCATGTTCACAAGAACCCTCCACTGGTCCCCATCCTGAGCCAGATCAGTCCAATCCATGCCATTCCATCCTGTCAATCTAAGATCCATTTTAATATTGTCCACCCACCTACGCCTTGGTCTTCCTAGTGGTCTCTTTCTTTCTGGCTTTCTCACCAATATCCTGTATGCAGTCCTCTTCTCCCTCATTCTTGCCACATGACCTGCCCAGCTCATCCTCCTTGACCTGATCATTCTAATTATACTTGGAGAAGAGTACAAGTGACAAAGCTTCTCATTATGTAGTTCTCTCCAACCTCTTGTTGCTTCATCTCTCTTCAGTCCAAATATTCTGCTCAATACCCTGTTCTCAGACACCCTCTGTCTATGTTCCTCCCTTAATGTCAGAGACCAAATTCCACACCCAACATGAATGACAGGCAGAATTGTAGTTTTGTATATTCTGAATTTTATGTTTTTAGACAGCTGACAAGAAGACAAAATGTTCAGGACTGAATGGTACCAAGCATTACCTGAGTTCAGTCTGCTCTTAATTTCCACCTTAATCAGGTTTTGATTTGTTATAGTTGTTCCCAAATATCTGAACTGTGCCACATTTTCAGAACAACTGTTAGCTATCTTTATGTCATGCATTAGTTTTCTATGTGTTTATATCCAACCTCCTTACCAGCATCAGTTAAAGTTTGTGTGTTTTTCTTTGTGGTATCTATATTATCTCCCAGTAGATTCACATCATCAGCATAGACCAACAGCTGATGGGTCTCATTTAATTTCAGTCCCGCCTGGTTTTCCTGGACCTTTCTAATGACATTATAAAGCATAGTTGAAAAGCAGTGGGGTTAAAACATCTCCTTGTTTTAGCTCATTCTGGGTAGGAAAATTATCAGACAAATGTATACCTGTAGGAAAATTATCAGACAAATGTATACCTGTACAGACTTTTCTATACATTTCATTTAAATGTATTTTAATCAGCCTAATCTTTTTCATGGGTACACCAAACTCTATGAGAATATTGTACAATACTTCCCGCCTAACTTACAGGCTTTCTTGAAGTCTAGGAATTACAGGTGTACTGTCTCATTGTACTCCCATTCCTTCTCCAATATCTGACAAATGTAAAAGATCTGATCAGTATTGATCTGTTACATCAAAAGCCACACTGATGATCACCAATAATTTCATCTATGTATGGACTTAATTTGGATAAAATTTTGTATAAAATTGATAGCAGTGATATCCCATGATAATTACTAGTCAGTTTTATCACCCTTCTTGTGAACTGATACAATACTTCTCCCTTATTCCAAATATAATTAATCAGCTTACGAACCTTAGAATGTAATATTTCACCTTCTTCTTGAATCAGTTCCACCAGAATTTGATCAGTACCTGGCAATTTATACCTTTTAATCATTGCAATAGCAATTTCAACCTCAAATGGGCTGGAATCAGATACTAATGGCTCAGCTGNAAAGTCACTTATTCCTCTATACAGGTCTCTAATGTTCTTGTTCTTACTGTTCATTGCAAGCTCATCAATTTTGTCTTTCAGATATTTTCTTTTATTCCTGAAATGTCTGCTGGTTTCACGTCTTATATTGTTCAGATTATCCCCATTTATTTCGCTTCGATCTTGTAACCACTGCAATTTGGCTTGTTTCCTTTGAACTAATAATTCTGACTATCATTCATTCACATGACTTATGCTTCTTCAATTCATAATAACTTAGACTCTGCCTGAAATTCTTATATTTTCTCTAATAGTTTTCCCAAGTTTTATTAACATCCACCTTAGTGTCTAAGTTTTCCAAAGCTGCAAACCTATTTGAGATTTCAACATGACACTGCTCTTTGCCGTCTACCTCATTTAATTTCTTGAGTTTGAGCCTCTCCATGTGAACTCTGTGCATTGTTTGTTTACTCACTGCCAGTCTGTCTATAAGTTTTGCCACCACCAGATAGTGGTCAGTATTAAAATCTGCTGCCCCAAACAATCGGACATCAAGTATACTTGAATACTGTCCCATATCTATCAAAAATATGGTCAATTTGATTGTGTCTTCCCTTCAGGAGATTTTTGGATTAGGAGGGAAGTATTGTACAATATTCTGATAGTTTGGGGTACCTATAAAACTAGTTAGGTTGATTAAAATGTGTTTAAACAAACCATATAGTAAAGTCCGTGTAGGTAAATATTTGGCTGATAAATTTCCTATCCAGAATGGTCTAAAACAAGAAGATGCTTTATCGCCACTCCTTTTGAACTTTGCTTTAGAATATGCCATTAGGAAGGTCCAAGGAAACCAGGTGCGACTGAAATTAAACGGGAAACATCAGCTGTTGGCCTATGCACGATGATGTGAATCTACTTGGTGATAAATGTACATACCATAAAGAAAAACATACAAACTTTAATTGATGCAAGTAAAGAGGTTGGTCTAGAAGTAAACACTGAGAAGACTAAGTACATGTTGCTGTCTCATCACCAAAATTAAGGGCAAAATCATGATATAAAGATAGGAAATAGATGTTTTGAAAATGNGAAAACTGCATAATGAGGAGCTTCGTAACTTGTAATCTTCTCCAAGTATAATCAGAATGATCAAGACAGGGAGGATGAAGTGGACAGGGCATGTGGCAGGAATGGGGGAGACACAGAATGCGTATAGGATAATGGTGGGAAAGCCAGAAGGAAAGAGCCCACTGGGAAGACCAAGGCGTAGGTGGGTGGACAATATTAAAATGGATCTTAGAGAGATAAGATGGGATGTTATGGATTGGATTGATCTGGCTCAGGATAGGGACCAGTGGAGGGCTCTTGTGAACACGGTAATGAACCTTCGGGTTCCATAAAATGCTGGGAAATTCTTGAGCAGCTGCAGAATTGGTGGCTCCTCCAGAAGGGCTCGGCTCTATGAGTAAGTAAGTAAATAAGTAAGCATTTTTTTATTGCTAGTGGGGTGGCCTATTGTACCAGCCCGAGATGATAGGTGAGGGTGATTGTGGAGCAATTGGTGGAATGAAGACTGGCAGGGGAAACCAAAGTACTCGGAGAAAACCTGTCCCTGCGCCTCTTTGTCCACCACAAATTCCACTTGACCAGACCCGGGATCAAACCCGGGCCGCCGCGGTGGAAAGCCAGCAACTAACTGCTTGAGCTATGGTGTGGCCTTACAAGTAAGTAAGTAAGTAAGTAAGGCAAAGTTTACTACCCTAACTCCATTATCATTACTATTTTCGTGTAAACTCTCATTCCCAATTGTTGGTTTTAAAAATGTCTTCCCTACCTACTTTGGCATTTAAATGTCCTAACAACATTTTTGTGTGGTATTTAGGGTATTTATTGAATACATGTTCTAGTTCTTCATAGAAACTGTCCTTCATATCATCAGTTTTATCTTCTTTTGGGGCATGAACATTCAGAATGATGATATCACACCAGCTACCTCTTAGTATTATGTATGACATCCTATCACTAATGAACGCTACCCACTTAACAGCCGATATGATTCTCTTATGTACGAAAAAACCTGTACCTAATTCATGATTCTCATTCCCCTTTCCATAGAAAAATGTATATTTGCCTGCTGGTTGAGTGCCACCTCCATCCCATCTGACTTGTACTCCTGCTAAATCTATCTTATATTTTGAGATTTCTTCTGCCACTGCCCTGAGTGAACCTTCCCTATGCATGCTTCTAACATTCCAAGTAGCAAATCTCATATCCATTTTCTTTCACTTGGGTCGTTTATCCAAGGAATCCATCCAGACTGAAGGCTTCTTGTGATCTTTTGTAACAAGCTTATTTTTTATTGTGAAAAGTTTGTAACCCCACGCCCAACCCCCAAGCTGCAGGACCACACCTTGTCGGCTGTCTGCAACTGCTTATTCAGTGTATTCGCAGCTACCCTCCATATCTGGACGCCATCTCCTCCATCCACAACCTCAGGATGTGCCATGTCGTGGTGACAAAGGACCCACCTAACATGGATGAAAATTATTCTACAAATAATTATTAAGCATAGGGATCGACTCAGCCTTTTTAACAGAAATGAGTACCAGGAATCTTCCTGGGGATAAAGGGCAGCCGGGAGGTGAGGCTCACAACCTCACCGCCATCTGTGAGCCAATCATATTGTATTTTGAATATGTACAGCAGTTCGAATTAATGTTGGTGGAATATCTGATGATGATGACCAAAACATGCCAAAAAATGTAAGGTCATTCATGTAATCACAATAAACTAGTCACATCTGAAGGAATATATACATTGTAGATATATTTTAAGTTGTGATGGAACAAAAATGCATATAATTAAGAATTTGTATTAATCCTTTAAATTGTAAAAGATTAAATAAGACCCAGTTTCATTCACTCTGTGAAAATTACATGAACATCCATATGAATTTTTTAATTTTTACCAAATGGCAGTAAAATCTTTTGATGAATTCATCAGTCTTGTCAGTGTTTCATCTAAGGAAGGAAGGAAACCATAGCAGAGATGGTACTGGATCAAAAGAAAGGCTCATCATAACATTAAGGCAGACATAAGAGACCCAATTATTTATTAGCCAAAAAATAAAATAGAATGATATTCAGTAATTAATGAACATGAACACAATCAATTAGAATTATATAAAACAACGAAAAGAAATGACACACAAAAATTAGGATTTTCATAAACTAAGTCACATAATATTAAAAATTCAGGGTCTTCATTAGTTACAGTGGAAGAGAAACTGCTGTGTGGTTACTGTATTGTCTACTTTTGGTGGAGTGTTGAGTTCGGAGAGGACGAGAGCGAGGAATTTGCAGGGTAGAAACAAAGGTCTTTATAATTAGGCAATTGTACCCATACTTCTTGGGCAAGAGGTACCACTTGAGGTTGCAGTGAGGGAGCCATGCCGAATAGTTGGGACAGCAGGTCAGGACATAGCAAAACATGAAGTGCTCTGCTGGTATTGGGGGAAAATTGGAGTTGTAGTATTCATTACATTAGTTTGGACAATTTGTAATAGTTCAGTTGTAGTTTTCACTTTCTGCTGAATTGGGGGAGGGGGGGAGGACATCTGCTTCGTAAGCAGCAACAAGGAGCATAGTTAAGTGGTCATCATCTGTGTCATGTTTACTGTTTTGCAATTCACATTTTGAAAGAATCGCAAGAAGTTTACTTTCCAAATGTTCTTTTAGCCTTCTTTTCCATGCCTGATTGCACCAATTCTGTTTTTGTATATCATTTTTTGACTCAGTTGTAAGAATGTCTTCATTTTCTTCATGCTCATCATCTGCTTCAACTACACAGCCTTCTACAATTGCTATGTTAGTCAAAGTATTGGAACATAATAAAACAATTCAACTTTATTTTTATAGTAGGGTAATATAAGTTTTATTTTTAAAAANGAAGTTTGGCACATTCCTCCTGGGACACCCTGTATTTACCTTCTTCCTGTGAATGTTCTCAACAACAAAAACAATTGATCATTTTATATATATCTTTGAAAATGGTGCACCTGATTTTGAACATTGCAATGTTTTCAGGCTTCTTTTGAAAATGTATCTAAGATTTTTCCACTTCTTCTGCAGGTCTCTGCCTGAAGAATGAAGTAATAGCATAAATGGGGCCTTCTACACAACAATAATCTCTACAAAATGAGGACAAAATAGATACTAACATATCAGCATTTGTTTATGATGCACAGGCGTTGCACTACATGTTTTAGCCTTTCATAGGTCATCATCAGGCGAGCCACAAGAATATCAATCTACGTTTCTGAATTGAGTTACTTTAATATAGATCAGTATATTACAATTTATTTTTATTTTGCGTGCTAGTACACCTTTTTGTAAAATGTAATCTAATAACAGACACGAACAGTTGGGTAAAATACAGTTTTTACCTAAGTTAAGATTAAGACTAATATATATTACCATTTTGTATTTAATATTAATGAATATATTAATGTAGCATGTCTTTGAAATAAAATTTAATTTAAAAGTCTTTAAAATATTTTTCATTTAAATAACTACTCTAATTATGTGTTGGTTGTGGGTTGATTCTAAATAGTCTTAAAATTGATCGTTGGGCTAAAATAGACTTTTATTGTTGTTGTTATGATCATGGTTGTTTGTTTGGTTGGTGAATTCATGAGTCAATGCAACATGAGGGGTCCTGTCATGTTGGTTTTTCCAGTCATTGTGTATATGGTTATGCACTCATTTCTCTTAGTGTCATTACCAGGTAGTTTTGTTTTTCATATTTGTGGAGTTTAAGTGCACTGTATTTGTTTTTGCATATATGACGGGGCCCCGCTGTAGTAGTGCTGTTCAGCATTGCAGCACTATCTTCATTTTGTAGACATTATTGTTGTGTAGATGGCCCCATTTATGCTATTTGAACAATGCACAATAGAATGCATACCATAAAGACTGAAAAATGAAAAACAATAACATAACAAAAAATTACTTTCAGGCATTTGGCATCTGAACTGAGTTTTACAGCCCACATTACCAGTTCTTTGTTAGGAAAAACAACTCTGAGGAATACTGTTGAAGAAACCTGCACTGTATTGTGGGAAGTCCGATCAGTCAACCCAGCTTGGACGTCTCTCCCATCTGGACTCCCATTATCGCAGCAGAAGTCAGAAAACTACAACTCCGACCTGTGTAGATTATGTGTGAAAACTGTTTTTTTATGTTGGTACCATACAGAGAATTTCTCTCTTTAGTGATGAATTCTATTCTGATAGAACTGTGATTATAAGAACAATAGCCATGAAACAGTGCATGGACATACTCGTAGGCGCTAGGTCTCATGTATGTGGAGTTTTTAAATGTTTTTAATATTTGTCCTAATTCTCACAGATAGTTTGTGCTGTGCTTAGTTTATATATCCTGTGTTGGTGCTTTTGTGTGGAGATAGGGACCAGCTCTGTCAATTGGACCCAACTGAGTATGTTACACCTGAAGGCAGATACAGAACTGTCTCCAAAATATTGTGTGTTTCAAATAAAAACAGGATGATGGATAATGTCCAGAAACGCAGTAATTGAATCAATTGTCTTGTTAACACTTGTGAACACACCGAATTCGTTTAATGCACTACATGTTGGTGCACACAGGCCAGAAGGTGATTGCCACATTTTTAATAGATCTATTCTGAGAACAGACTGGCTAAAAATCAGTTAAACATTCCTCCATTTATAAGTAGGGTTTGAAGCCTTTGGTTAGAGGAAGTATTTACCCAGACCATATGCCCATAAGGACCTGTACAGAATTTGAACTATCTAACTTCATGGATCTGAGCCCTTCTGGAGAAGCTGCCAGTTGTGCAGCCACTCAAGAATTTCCCAGCATTTTATGAAACCTGAAGGCTCATTATTATGTTCACAACAGCCCTCCACTGCTCCCTATCCTGAAGCAGATAAATCCAGTCCATACCACCTCATCCGATTTCTCTAAGATCCATCCTCCTGTATTTTCATCTTCCTAGGAGGTCTCTTTCCTTCTGGCTTTCCCACCAATATCCTACATGCACTCCTCTTCTCCCCCCATTTGTGCTACATGCCCTGCACATCTCATCCTCCTTGACTTGATCATTCTAATTATACTTGGAGAAGAGTACAAGTTATGAAGCTCCTCATTATGCAGTTTTCTCCATCCTTTGGTCACATCATCCTTCTTCTGTCAGAATATTCTCCCAACACCCCTGTTCTCAAACACACTCAGTCTATGTTCCTCACTTAATATCAGAGACCCAAGTTTCATACCCATACAGAACCACAGGCAAAATTATTGTTTCACATATTCTAATTTTTACATTTTTAGACAAGACAAAAAGACAGAAGGTTCTAGACTGAATGGCAGCAAGCATTACCCAAATTCAGTCTCCTTAAATTTTGATTTGTTACTGTCGTTCCCAAATATTTGAACTGTGCCNGTCCCATAAAATGCTGGGAAATTCTTGAGTATCTGCAGATTTGGCTTCTCCTCCAGGAGGGCTCAGCTCCATAAGCAAGCAAGTAAGTAAATGTTTTTCTTTATTGTATCTGTGTTATCACCCAGTAGATTCACATCATCAGCATTCAACAGCAGTTGATGTGTCCCATTTAACATTTCCTGGACCTTCCTAATGGCATATTCTAAAGCAAAGTTGAAAAGCAGTGGCGATAAAGCATCTCATTTTAGACCATTCTGGATTGGAAAGTTATCAGACATATATTTACCTATACAGACTTTACTATACACATCATTCAAACATTTTAATCAGCCTAACTAGGTTCATGGGTACCCCAAACTCTATCAGAATATTGTACAACTAACTGAATCATAGGCTTTCTTGAAGAGTATGAATAGCTGATGTACTGTGTCATTGTACTCCCATTCCTTCTACAGTGTCTGAAGATGCAAAACATCTGATGGGTAGTTTATTTGTTACGTCAAAACCCACACTAATGATCCCCATGAATTTCATCAATATATGGACTTAACCTTGAGAGAAGAATATACTGGATAAAATTTTGTATGAAGTTGATAGCAGTGATATTCCAAGATAATTACTACAGTCAGTTTTATCACCCTTCTTGTATACCGGTACAATAATAGACTCCTTTCACTAATCAGACAGTTCTTAATCATTGCCAATAGAATTGGTATGGATCTCACAATGCAACGTTTCATGTCCTACATGAATCAGTTCTGCTGGAATTTGATCAATACCTGGCTATTTGTACCTTTTTGAGTTTGTGATGCAATTTCAATCTCAAAAGGACTAGGCTCAATTACTAATGGATCAGCTGTATGTATTTATATCTGCCGGACATCAATGACAGAAGAATTTCTTCCACCTACTCAAAATGTTGTGGGAATCTGCAAGCAGATCACCATTCTCATTCTTCATAAAGTTACTTCTAGGCTGGTAACCCCTCTTAAATTCATTTATTTCAATATATAGGTCTCAAATATTCTTGTTCTTAATTTTTGTTGCAAGCTCATCAATTTTATCTTTCAGATATTCCCTCTTCTTATTCTTGAAATGCCTTCTGGCTTCATGTCTTAAGTTATTAAGATTATCACCATTTATTCCACTTGGATCCTGTAACCACTGCAATTTGACCTGTTTCCTTTGATCTAATAATTTTGAGCATCCTTCATTGAACCATTGCCTATGCTTCTTTAATTCATAATAACCTACACTCTCTTCAACCAAAATGTTGATATTCTCTGATAGTTTCCCAAACTCTATCCACATCAGCATCTAAGTTTACCAAAGCTGTGAACCTATTTGAGATTTGAACACGATACTGCCCTTTACCTTCTACCTCCTTTAACTTCTTGAGATTGAACCTCTCAATATGAACTCTGTGCATTGTTCACTGCCAGTCTCTCCCAACTTTTCCCACCACCAGACAGTGGTCAGTATCACAATTTGCTGCTCTGAACAATCAGACATCAAGTATAATTGAATGCCGTCTCGTACCTCTAAAAGATGGTCTATTTGATTGTGGGTCTTTCCATCAGGAGATATCCAAGTAAATTTATGACTGTTAAAATTTGCAAACATTGTACTTTTGACAATCAGATTTTTGGATGTGCAAAGTTTACTACTCTAATTCCATTATTATCACTAATTTTGTGTAAACTCTCATTCACCATTGATGATTTGAAAATATCTTCCCTACTTACTTCAGCACTGAAATCTCATAGAATTTTCAAATGGAATTTACAGAAGTTATCGTATACACTTCTACTTCCTTGTAGAAGCTGACCTTCATATCATCAATTTTATCCTCTGTCAGGGCATGAACATTCAGAACGATATCACACCAGCAACCTCTTAGTATTATGTGCAACATCCTTTCACTAACCAACTCTACGCTCTTAACTGCTGATATGATTTTCTTCTGTATAAAACAACCTGTACCTAATTCAAGACTCATTCCCCTTAAAAGTAAAAGTAAGTAAAGGTATCCCTGTAACAAGCCATGGAGGCCCATAGGGTTGTGAGATGTTGAGGTTCCCACATTTTCTAGACAATCAGCTCATAGATGGCGGCAAGGTTGTCAGCCCTACGCGCTAGCCGCCCTTTACCCCCAAGAATATTCCTGGTACTCATTTCCGTTAGAGGCTGAGTCAACCCCAGGACCATAGTGCGGCTGGAAGGATTAGGTCAATTGAAGAAAAATCCAATGACCTCATCGGGACTTGAACCCACGACCTTCCAGCTTGTAGCATAGTGCCTCAACCAACTACACTACAGTGTGCTCCAACTCATTCCCCTTTCCATACAAAAATGCATACTCACCTGCTGGTTTGGTGCCACCACTGTCCCATCTGACCTCCTGTACGTCAATTAAATCTAACTTAAACTTTGAAATTCTTTTTCACTATTCTCATGAGCGAATGTCCCCTGTACAGACTTCTTACATTCCACATACCAAATCTCATGTCTATTTTCCTTAGCTTAGATCATTTATTCAAAGACTCTGGCCAAGTCCAAGGGCCTTTGTGACATTTCATAACAAGCATATTTTTACGGTGATGAATTGTTAGCCCCATGCCCAACCCCCAAGCTGGAGTACCACCTTGGTGGCTGTCTGCAACTTCTTATTCAATACATGGGGAAGTCATAAAATTTTAATTATCACCCAGAAGAAACAGAGACACAGGTGCAAGAAATTGTGAGTTAATCCTCTACATATGCCCCCTGCAAGGACACACATTTTCCCCACCGATGCATTAGCAGCTGGATACCTTGATCATAGAAGGTCTCATTTTGACTGTTTAGGAAGTCCTCCACTGCAGAAATGACATCACTGTCTTGGAATCACTTATCATGAAGTGGCATCTTTAGCCTTGAAAAGAGGAGGAAGTCGCTCGTGCAAGGTCTGGTGAATATGGTGGATGGTGGAGAATTTCATATCTCAAATTGGCAGCAAGTGTCGTAGCATGAGCAGCATTAGCTGATGCGTTGTCGTGAAGAAGTCGCACATCTTTTCCCAGAATTCCGCATAGCTTTTTCTTGACTTCCTCCTGTAATTTTCTCAGAAGGTTCCAGTAGTACTCGCCAGTGATGGTGACGTCCTTTTGCGCATAGTCGGTCACGATGACGCCCTAACAATCCCAGAACATGCTCAACATCACCTTTCCTGATGACGGCTCGGATTTGACCTTCTTTGGTGGTGGTGAGTCTGCATGTTTCCACTGCTTGCTCATTTCCTTTGTTTCAGAGTCATAATGATAGACCCAGCATTCATCCATCATGATCAGGAGGTCAAAAATTCTACCTTCCGGTGGCTCCCTCTGTCCGCTTGGTGCGGGAAAATTTGACTGTTTGGCAAGCTCAGGAAATGGCCTATGATTTTCTCATGGTGATAATTAAAACATTATGACTTCCCATCATATATTCACAGCCACCCTTCATATCTGGAGACCATCTCCATCTGCAATCTGCAGAAGCACCATGCAATGGTGACAGGGAACCCACCTATCATGGAACAGAATTTGAAGAGTCCTCAATTACAGATTAGCTGAAGGAAGATTTGTAGAATGTACTTTTGGCATCATAATCAGTAAATGGCAAGTGTTCCTTTCTGGTATGATGGTACAGCCCAATTTTGCACAATTAATTACTAAACAGCATGTGTTCTTCACAAATTTTGTAAGTAGAAGGGATAGCTACAATTCTGAAGACACACTTTCATGTAAAATTGACATTCATGTATGCAGTATTGGATCTTCATTACAGATAACAGATATTAGAGACAAGTTTGCTATTCTTTCATAAGCCCAGAAGGGGAAATGGAATGGCAATGTGACAGTATAATTACATTTCAGTAATGTTTACTGCTAAACACCTCCCTCACTAATCTACTGTTTTATTAATTACAGTTCAGGCCAGTAAAACCACAAGTTCTGTCTTCTGGGATATAACACCATGTGGTTCACTGATAGTCAGCCGACACTGCAGAGGAACATGTCACCTCCATCTTCAGGGTTGGGTTGAAGAATAAGCCAACCAAGAAACCAGCATATATTAGATAGCAAGCAAAGCCGGATTGCATGGTGTTACATCCCAAAAGATAGAACTTTACATAATCACCGCTCTGAGAACCTCAAGTCCTACAAATGAAAACACGTTTTACATACTAAACTGAGTCCCTCTTTCTATATCCAGCTATTCTCAATCATCACACATAAGTTTACACTCCCCAGTCAATAATTTTTTGTCTCTGTTATGATAATTAAAATTTGCAATGCTCCAAATAGAGGCTTTTCCTTTGGTGAACTGATGTTTTAAGACACAGACATAAACGCTACCACTGACTAGTGCGGTATTTGTCAGATGGCATTTGGAACACTGAGGGCCAAAAATGGGGCAGTACATGATAACAACGCTTGACGCCTCTGGTGTAATCGCCCTCATAAACTTCAGTGGTTTGTCAAACATGTCATAAGCAAACCGTTAGCATAGAGTGTAAAGCATAAGAAAGTGTAGGATTTCAGCTTCTCAGTGCAGTGGTTATGAACAGTACTGTCTTCTGGGATTTAATGCCGTGTATCCGGTGAAAGTTCACCGAACTTTCAGAGGAACATATCGCCTCCATCTTAGGGGTCGAAGAATATGCCAAGCAAGAAATTAGCGTGAAAGCAGGTAGCAAACAGATCTGCTTCTTTGACCCTGAAGATGGAGGCAATAAGTTCCTCTGAAAGGTCAGTTGACTTTCAGCAGACTACATGGCTTTATATCCCAGAAGATGGTACTCTTTATAAAAAAATTGCACATTAATAATGGTCAGTGGCATGGGGGAGGGGAAAAAACAGGCATCTATCCCACCTGCCTTTTAAAAAAATCAAAATTTAAGAAACTAAGGAAACAAAAAAAAGTAAAGTTTTCCCTGTGCTTAGCTAATTAAGCACTACACCATGAAGACATATGAAGGTTGGAGGTGAGTGGTCAGCTTCACGCCCCGGCCATTTTACCCCTGGGGAAAGAGCCCCCAGAGCCAGTCTGGATGTGGAGAATATCCTTGATCCTAACGAGACTCAAACTCTGACCTCTCAGTGATCCAGCCCATTAAGCCAGTTGCTATACTGACTGTGCCATAGCTCATGTGGTTAGTCGCCGGGTTCCAGGCTCAGGTCTGTGGGATTTGTGGTGGGCAGAGTGGCACTGGGGCAGGTTTTCTCTGAGTACTTTGGTTTCCCCTGCAAATTCGCATTCCACCAATTGCTACACAGTCGTCATCATCCATCATCTGGGCCTGGTACAATAGGCCAAAGAGTGACCACTGTACCAAGTGGACTCAGTCTCATCCCATGAGAAAAATAACAATATAGCAACTGCGCCATTCTGGCTTCTAAGAAAATGTACCAGATACTAATGCAACAAATTGAACCTTCATTTAATAATAAGAATAGCAGTAAACGGCTTAAACACAAGTTTGTAACCAAATGATGTGGCTGCCCTCCCCCTCGAAAAAGTCCTGGTGGCCCCATGGTCCTAACATCCATTCAAAAATTAAGACTACTGTCTTCTAGGATATGACTCCGTTTAGTCTTGTAAATTTGAAGGCAGCAGCAAGCACCACTCTGGCTGGTGCTTACTGCTTGCTTGCTCAGCATACTCATCAACCCTGGAGATGGAGGCAGTATGTTCCACCTAAATGTCACTCAACTTTCGCCAAACTGTCCCTTCATTTCTCTTTGGTCGAAATATTCTCCTCAACACCCTCAGTCTAGGCTCCTCCCTTAAAGTCAGAGACCAAGTTTCACACCCATACAGAACCACAAGCAAAATTATTGTTTTTTATATTTTAATTTTTATGTTTTTAGACAGAAGACGGGAAGACAAAAGGTAGGTACTGAATGGTAGCAAGCATTACCCGAGTTCGATCTCCTCTTAATTTCCTCTTAAATCAGGTTTTGAATTGTTACAGTCATTCCAAATATCTGAACTGTGTTACATTTTCAAAACATCTGCTACCTATATTTATGTCATGATTTTGCCCTGCATTTTGGTGATGAGATAGCAACATATACTTAGTTTTCTCTGTTTACTTCTAGACCAACCTCCTTACTAGCATCAATTAAAGTTTTGTGTGTTTCTCTTAATGTATCTATATTATCACCCAGTAGATTTACATCATCGGCACAGACTAACAGCTGATGTGTCCCGTTTAATTTCAGTCCCACCTGGTATTCTTGGACCTTCCTAATGGCATATTATAAAGCATAGTTGAAAAGCAGTGGCAATAAAGCTCCTCCTTGTTTTAGACCATTCTGGATAGGAAATTTATCAGACAAATATTTACCTACATGGACTTTACTATACGTTTCGTTTAAACACATTTTAATTAACCTAACTAGTTTTAATGGGTATCCCAGACTATCAGAATATTGTACAATACTTCCCTCCTAACTGAATCATAGGATTTCTTGAAGTCTACAAATAGCTGATGCACTGTCTCATTGTACTCTCATTTTTTCTCCAGTATCTCACAAAAGCAAAAATCTGATCTGTTATATCGAAACCCACACTGATGATCCCCAATAATATCATCTATGCCTGGACTAAACCTTGAGAGAAAAATATTGGATACAATTTTGTATGAAGTTGATAGCAGTAATATACCAGTTTTATCACCCTTCTTGTAAACTGGTACAATAATAGACTCCTTCCACTGATCAGGCAATTTTTCCTTATGCCAAATAGAAGTAATTAGCTTGTGGATCTTAGAACGTAATATTTCACCTCCTGCTTGAATAATTTCTGCGGAATTTGATAACTACCTGGCGATTTATACAGTTTCAATAGCAATTTCAACCTCAAAAGGGCTAGGATCAGGTACTAATGGCTCAGCTGTATGGATATCTATCTGCCTAACATCACTGACCCTATGTACATTCAATAACTGAGAGAAGTAGTTCTTCCATTCTTCCACCTGTTCAAAATATTATTGGAATCTGCAAGCAGATAACCATTCTTATCCTTCAAGTTACTTCTAGGTTGGTAACCCCTCTTAAATTATGTAATTTCTCTATACAGGTCTCTAATGTTCTTGTTCTTACTGTTCATTGCAAGCTCATCAATTTTTTCTTTCAGATATTCCCTCTTTTTATTCCTGAAATGCCTGCTGGTTTCACATCTTATATTGTTCAGATTATCCCCATTTATTCCGCTTGGATCCTGTAACCACTGCATTTCGGCTTGTTACCTTTGCCTAATAATTCTGAGCATTCTTTGTTGAACCATGGCTTATGCTTCTTCAGTTCATAATAACCTAGACTCTCTTTTGCAGAAATTTTTATATTATCTCTAATAGTTTACCAAGCTTTATCAACACCCACCTCCTGTCTAAGTGTTCCAAAGCTGCGAATCTATTTGAGGTTTCAACACGATACTGCTCCTTATCCTCTACCTCATTTAATTACTTGAGATTGAATCTCTCCATATGAACTCTGTGCATTGTTCACTGCCAGTCTTTTCCTAACCTTTGCCACCACCAGGTAGTGGTCAGTATCACAATCTGCTGCCCTGAATGATTGGACATCAAGTATGCTTGAATGCCGTCTCCTGTCTATCAAAATATGGTCAATTGCATTGTGTGTCTTCCCATCAGCAGATGTCCAAGTACATTTATGAATGTTACAATGTGGGAGCAATGTGCTTTTGACAGTAACATTTTTTAATGAGGCAAAGTTTACTACTCCAACTGCATAATCACTACTAATTTCATGCAAATTCTCATTACCAATTGTTGGTATGAAAATATCTTCCCTACCTACTTTGAAATTGAAATCTCGTAACAACATTTATATATGATACTTTCGCAATTCATCAAATACATGTTCTAGTTCTTCATATCATCAATTGTATCTTCTGTTGGGCATGAACATTCAAAACGATCATATCAAACCAGCGACCTCGTGGTATTATGTATTACATCCTATCACTACTTTACTCTACCCTCTCAACTGCTATGATACCCTTATGTACAAAATAACCTGTACCTCATTCATGCGTTTAATTCCACTTCCCATATGAATATGTATATTCGCCTTCTGAGTCAGTGCCATCTCCACCGATCTCCACCATTAACCTCCTGTACCACACTAAATCTAACTTATATTTTGGGATTCTTTCCGCCACTGCCCTCAGCAAACTTGCCCTACACATACCTCTATTATTGTACGTACAAAATCTCATGCCCATTTTCTTTTGCTTAGGTCGTTTGTCCAAGGAATCCGTCCAGATCCGAGGCTTCTTGCAAATTTTCATAACAAGCTTATTTTTTACGGCGAAAAGTTGTGGTATCCGACTTAATAAGAAAACTGTAATTATTCATAACTGTTCAAAGTGAAAGAATTGATTAATTTTTCTTCGTAAATACAATTTGTTCGATACTATAAAACAATCGAATCATTTGATAGTTAGATTATCCTCAACTACAGTACGACCTCCGATCAAGAGCGATCCAGAGTGTATATCGAGAGATGTGGTCTGTGACGTCTGTGTAATTCGGGGTTGGTGTTTGTGTTTCCTGTTCATGACTAGTACTTGTTTGGTTAGTAATGCCTGTAGGCATGGCACGGAAAAATGATTTCGATTTATTTGTTGCAGGAAAAACAGGCTCATTTAAAGGTACTGATGTACATTTACTTTGATTGTTTTAAGTATATAAAGTACTACCCTCACAGAATTCCATTTCCACCTAAAAAACGTTGAGGTTATGCTCACGGTATGGTATCATTTAGTTGTGAAATATTTATCAGTTATGACGTATTATTTTTAGGAATCAGCATTAATTTTGAGGATAAAGACACAAAACCCATTGCGAAGAATATACAGAATATAAAAGTCCTCACAAAGGAACATGAAATTACAGCCTTGGCATGGGGGGATGCAGATGAAGTTGAAGTGTTAATTGGTATGTCTTGTCAGAGAGTAAAGATATATGACACTGACTTCAAAGCATTTACAAGCAGCGTGGATGCATCCTGTGGGCATGGCAGTATACAAGGATTATCTAGATATAAAGGGTAAGTTTTTTGTTATGGTTGGATATTTAACGACTCTATCAGTACCGAGACTATATAGCTTGAGATTATTTGATGATTAATTAATGTGGAATAGTTTTTGGAATGAGAATTGGCAGGGGAAATCAAAGTGCTAGGAGGAGACTTGCTCCGTTTTCACTTTATCCGTCACAAATTCCACATGACCTGACCTGGGGTCAAGCCGCCGTGATGAGAAGCTGCTTACACCATTTAAGACCAGTAATCAAATAATGAATGACTGTTTCAAGAGACATGTGTGAATTTCATCAGTTGGCAGTTCAATTTTTGTAGCATTTCCATAATTGTCACATGCACCATATTGGTGTGTCACCTAGTTTGGGGGCTCTGAAGTTGGGGCCCTTAAGTAGGAACTTAGTCTGCTTACTGGTGAATATGCCTTGCATATGTGTTTCTATTCTTTGACCCTTTGAACAGTGTGTCATGAGAGCTTATTGTAAATATTTATACTATCTTAGTGTACATCAGCATCAGCAGCAAAACAGCAGTTTTTGAGACTTAGCCTTCCCTAGACATTCTGCCAGATTGCATCTGGTTTTCACTTCTTTGGATTTCACATCAATAATAATGTTTTCACAGAGCAAGATTTTTAACCTTGCGTCCAACCCAAAGCCTGAAGGATCTGGTCCCTGTATTTATATCCCCCAGGAACAGGGTGGCCCAATTACACCCCTAAGCACTGTGTTCCCTTCTTGTTGCCTTCTGCAACTCGCAGGGCGATGGTGGAGGTATTCTGACCTACCTACACACAGGGAATCTTAGTGCTACAAGGAGATTAAATCACCATTTCATCAACTATAAGTAATCATAATTTAGTAAATAATCATTCTGCCTGTTCCTTTGCATTTTCAGGAAACTTTTGACTGCTGTAGCATCAGGTCATGTGAAAATATGCAGTCATGTAAAGAACTCCAACAATATTTTGGACACTGGTGGCTCAATAGAAAAAATGAGACACAGTCCAGTAAATGCAGATATTATTGCAGTTGGAGGAAAAGAGAATGATCTGAAGCTATGGAATTTGGAACAGAAGACATGTACTTTTGCAGCTAAAAATGTGAGTTTAGTTTAATCATCTGAGAAAGCTTACTTACTTACTTACTTACTTACTAACTAACTTACTTACTCACTCATGGACCTGAACCCTTCTGGATGAGCCGCCACTTCTGCAGCTACTCAAGAATTTCCCAGCACTTTATGGAACCCAAAGGTTCATTGCCGTGTTCACAAGAGCCCTCCACTGGTCCCTATCCTGAGCCAGATCAATCCAATCAATACCATCACACCCTATCTCTCTAAGATCAATTTTAATATTGTCCGCCCACCTACGCCTTGGTCTTCCCAGTGGGCTCTTTCCTTCTGGCTTTCCCACCATTATCCTATACGCATTCTGCGTCTCCCCCATTCCTGCCACATGCCCTGTCCACTTCATCCTCCCTGTCTTGAGCATTCTGATTATACTTGGAGAAGATTACAAGTTATGAAGCTCCTCATTATGCAGTTTTCTCCAACTTCCTGTCACTTCATCTCTCTTCAGTCCACATATTCTCCTCAACACCCTGTTCTCAAACACCCTCAGTCTGTGTTCCTCCCTTAATGTCAGAGATCAAGTTTCACACCCTTACAGAACCACAGGCAAAATTATAGTTTTGTACTTGTATATTCTAATTTTTATGTTTTTGGACAACAGACGAGAAGACAAAAGGTTCTGGACTGAATGGTAGCAAGCGTTACCCAAGTTCAGTCTCCTCTTAGTTTCCTCCTGAATCAGGTTTTGATATGTGTTCGTTGTTCCCAAATATCTGAATTGTGCCACATTTTCAAAACATCTATTTCCTATCTTTATATCATGATTTTGCCCTTAATTTTGGTGATGAGACAGCAACATGTACTTAGTCTTCTCAGTGTTTACTTCTAGACCAACCTCTTTACTTGCATCAATTAAAGTTTGTATGTTTTTCTTTATGGTATGTACATTTATCACCAAGTAGATTCACATCATCGCATATAGGCCAACAGCTGATGTGTCCCGTTTAATTTCAGTCCCACCTGGTTTCCTTGGACCTTCCTAATGGCATATTCTAAAACAAAGTTGAAAAGGAGTGGCGACAAAGCATCTCTTGTTTTAGACCATTCTGGATAGGAAATTTATCAGACAAATGTTTACCTACACAGACTTTACTATATGGTTTGTTTAAACACATTTTAATCAGCCTTAGTTTCATGGGTATCCCAAACTCTATCAGAATATTGTACAATACTTCCCTCCTAACTGAATCATTGGCTTTCTTGAAGTCTATGAATAGCTGATGTACTGTCTCATCATACTCCCATTTTTTCTCCAATATCTGACGAATGCCAAAGATCTGTAGTTGATCTGTTACGTCAAAACCAACACTGATGATCCCCAATAATTCCATCTATATAAGGACTTAACCTTGAGAGAAGAATATTGGAAAAATTTTATATGAAGTTGATAGCAGTGATATCCCTCGATAATTACTACGGTCAGTTTTATCACCCTTCTTGTAAACTGGTACAATAATAGACTCCTTCCAGTGATCAGGCAATTTTTCCTTATGCCAAATAGAAATAATTAGATTGTGGATCTTAGAATGTAATATTTAACCTCCTGCTTTAATAAGTTCTGCTGGAATTTGATCGCTACCTGGCGATTTATATCGTTTCAATTTTGCAGTAACACTTTCAACCTCAAAAGGGCTAGGATCAGGTACTAGCGGCTCAGCTGTATGCATTTCTGTCTGCCTAACATCACTGACATTCTGTACATTTAATAACAGAGAAGTAGTTCCTCCAACTATTCAAAATGTTGTGGGAATCTGCAAGCAGATCACCATTCTCATCCTTCACTAAGTTACTGCTAGTCTGGTAACCCCTCCTAATGTCATTTATTCCTCTATACAGGTCTCTAATGTTCTTGTTCTTACTGTTCATTGCAAGCTCATCAATTTTGTCTTTCAGATATTCCCTCTTTTTGTTCCTGAAATGCTTGCTGGTTTCACGTCTTATATTGTTCAGATTATCCCCATTTAACTCGCTTGGATCCTGTAACCACTGCAATTTGGTCTGCTTCCTTTGATTTAATAATTTTGAGCATCCTTTGTCAAACCATGTCTTACGCTTCTTCGGTTCATAATAACCTAGACCCTCTTTGGCAGACATTTTTATATTCTCTCTAATAGTTTCCCAAGCTTTATTAACATCCACCTCATTTTCCAAGTTTTCCAAAGCCACAAACCTATTTGAGATATCAACACAATACTGCTCTTGACCCTCTACCTCTTTAATTTCTTGAGATTGAACCTCTCCATATGAACTCNTGCTGGTTTCACGTCTTATATTGTTCAGATTATCCCCATTTAACTCGCTTGGATCCTGTAACCACTGCAATTTGGCCTGCTTCCTTTGATTTAATAATTTTGAGCATCCTTTGTCAAACCATGTCTTACGCTTCTTCGGTTCATAATAACCTAGACCCTCTTTGGCAGACATTTTTATATTCTCTCTAATAGTTTCCCAAGCTTTATTAACATCCACCTCATTTTCCAAGTTTTCCAAAGCCACAAACCTATTTGAGATATCAACACAATACTGCTCTTGACCCTCTACCTCTTTAATTTCTTGAGATTGAACCTCTCCATATGAACTCTGTGTGTTGTTTGTTTGCTCACTGCCAGTTTTTCCCTAACCTTTGCCACCACCAGGTAGTGGTCAGTATTACAGTCTGCTGCCCTGAATGATCGGACATCAAGTATACTTAAGTGCCGTCTCCTATCTATCAAAATATGGTCTATTCATCTGAGAAAGCTAAGCTATAAAAATAACAAATAAATGAGCATGGTTTATTGGGAATGTATGAAACTAGGGATTCAGAAATACAGATCACATCTGTTAGCCACTTTATCCATTGTATCTCAGTGAGTTCATAAAAATATTTTTATAGTCAGTCATGTAATGTGGTCGTAGGGACAGGGCAAGTGTATTTCTGGAGCCTGCATGTAACTGTGCCTTGTTATGTGAATGTTTCCTTACCCTTACCATTATGCTAGTCAGTGTGTNGTAGTGGTCAGTATTACAGTCTGCTGCCCTGAATGATCGGACATCAGGTATACCTAAGTGCCGTCTCCTATCTATCTAAGGTCATCTAGCATCTTCTTACGTCTTCTTCCTCGTCTTCTGGTCACTTCTATCCACCCCTCTATCTTTCCTTCAGTAACTTCTTTTAGAAGGCAGTTACTGCATAAGATATGACCACTCCAATTAGCCTTCCGTTTTCTTATTTCGTGTACGATATTCCTCTGCTCACTGACTCTAAATAACACTTCTTCATTTCTCACATAATCGGTCAAACTGATCTTCTCCATCCTTCTCCAACACCACATTTCGAAGCTTTCCAGGTGTTTCTGATCTACTGCCCTAAGTGTCCAAGCTTCAGCCCCATACAAAGCAATGCTCCAAATGTAGCATTTCACTAGTTTCTTTCTCAAATTTAAGTCCAATTTGCTTGTAAAAAGATTCTTCTTCTTGCTAAATGCAGCTTT